AGCAACGCCAACCAAGTGTACGCTGAATCCAAAGATGCTCTGTCTCGTGGGTAATATCTGGGTGCAATACCGCCATCTGATCTCTAATGAATGATAAAGCCACGCGACTCCCACCCCGGTCACCCAGCGGTCTCGAACCAGTCAACTGCCCCATCATGTCCGCCAACTGTGCACGTGTCATCCCTATCCAGTGGTGGGGCAGTGCGAAGGCGCGCCCCTCTACGCGCAGTCCATATAAAACCTGGACATCCTGCAACGTGATAGTAGCCTCTCCAGTGGGCAAGTGAAATGTATGTGTCTCCGGTCGCCACCGCTCTACCAAGGACGTGATGAGCAACCAATCAAGCTGCATCCGTCCAAGCTGAAAAATGGTATATAATCCCGAAGTCTGGAGGATCTCTACTACGCGCGGATGGAAACGATGCTCCGCAATAAACTCCCACAAATCATCAGGCCTCCTGGGGCGGAGAGGCTGCATCGCTAGTTGTCCCTCCCAAACATAGGATGACCTATGGTCGCCCTGCAGCACTAGTAGCTGATCCTCGGCAGGTCCAGGATGCGCAGGCGGAGGAAACGCCATGTCGTCTACTATAATTTAAACAAAATTAATTGTTTGTGTTAGTGTAATAAATTAAATTAAGTATGATTTTTGAAATTGGAGATAATAGTTATGTATGGGTTCCAGGCTTGATTTTTGACGCCCGGTGCCACCGAATAATTCTTAATTATTATAAGTCTCAATTTCAACATTTTTAGATTTTTATTAACTTAATAAATTAAATTAAGTATGATTTTTGAAATTGGAGATAATAGTTATGTATGGGTTCCAGGCTTGATTTTTGACGCCCGGTGCCACTGAATAATTCTTAATTATTATAAGTCTCAATTTCAACATTTTTAGATTTTTATTAACTTAATAAATTAAATTAAGTATGATTTTTGAAATTGGAGATAATAGTTAGTTAAAATATCATGGTATAGCCAGTTTTCACACCGGTCAATGAAAAATAGCCAGCGTTTATCAAGTCAATGAAAAATAGCCACTATTTTGCTGCAACAGGGACCGGTCCAGTATAATATACGGGAGTTCTGGTGCATTTGTATACGAACTCCAGCATATTATGCTGGACCGGTATACTTTGCTAACTCCTGTAAAATTTGCGGGAGACCGGAGCACCAGTGCTCCAAACTCCAGTATATTATACTGGACAATTATACTTGCTGGAACTCCCGTAAAATTTGCGGGAGTTCCAGCATAATTATTCTTGAACTCCCGTAAAATTTGCGGGAGTTCCAGCATAGTTATCCTGGAACTCCCGTAAAATTTACGGGAGTTCAAGCATACTTATGCTGGAACTCCCGTAAAATTTGCGGGCGTATTTTTCCGGATTTTGAACAGTGTTTTCGCTCAGATTTAAAGTGGCTAAATTTCGATGACTTTTGAAACTTGGCTATTTTTCAACGACTAGTGGTAAATCTGGCTATTTTTGAATTTCTCCCTAATAGTTATGTATGGGTTCCAGGCTTGATTTTTGACGCCCGGTGCCACCGAATAATTCTTAATTATTATAAGTCTCAATTTCAACATTTTTAGATTTTTATTAACTTAATAAATTAAATTAAGTATGATTTTTGAAATTGGAGATAATAGTTATGTATGGGTTCCAGGCTTGATTTTTGACGCCCGGTGCCACCGAATAATTCTTAATTATTATAAGTCTCTATTTCAACATTTTTAGATTTTTATTAACTTAATAAATTAAATTAAGTATGATTTTTGAAATTGGAGATAATAGTTATGTATGGGTTCCAGGCTTGATTTTTGACGCCCGGTACCACCGAATAATTCTTAATTATTATAAGTCTCAATTTCTACGCTAAAAGGCTCTACATTTTACTACGCTAAAAGGCTCTACATTTTACTTCGCTAAAAGGCTCTATATTTTACTTCGCTAAAAGACACTATATTTTACTACGCTATAAGGCTATACAATATGAACATAACATCAACAATACAAATAAACAAAATAAATAATATTATTTAACACAAACAATCAAGTAGCATTTTTGGTCACAAACATAACATAAATTCGGATATCAAATAAATCAAACCGGGTATATAAAAGAAACAAAATTAAACACTAACATAACAAAAAGTCACATGGAAACATACTAAACAATACTAATGCATGACTATATGAGTTTCGGCATAAACTAAATTGAAATACCTCGATGTAAATATTATTGAAATCGAATTTTTGCACCCGAAACACGCAGTCCAAAACTTCTTTTGTGTGTGGGACCTACACTTCTTGCTCTTTATGGGACGGATGGGGCCGAATTTTTTTTTTTTTAAATTATAGGCGGGGTGGAGGACCAGAAAACTTTGAGTTTGATTTTTTAATGGAGATCGTTTTCTGTGGGAAGAAGACGACCCGTTTTTATTAGGGCAATTCGTAGTTCAGTACAACGAATTGTAATTCGCAGTACTGTACTACGAAATGTCATTAAAAAATTATTTTTTTTTTAAAACTGCGAAATGCCTTAACGGCAAAAAATCCGTTAAGCCAATTCGCAGTATAAAACTGTGAAATACCCATTATTGTATCTTTTTTTTTTTAACATCAAAAATATATTTTATGTTCAAAAAATTATTAATTAAGTTTTGGGAGTATCTTGACTGGCTCTTTCTTGACTTGAACACAAACACAGTAAAAAAGAAAAATGAGGTGGTCACAAAATCACATAGAACCTCTGCAAAACATACCCAAAGGAACAGAGTCAGTGATGAATGATGATGTTGGGCTTAGCTCAACGATTACTTTAGATTCTCTACTCAAGACACAATTATTTGCAATCAACAGTGCCAAAGGTAGTATTAATATTGAATTCAGGTGTCTCTTTCTTATCCTCTTTCATTGAGCTTCAAATATTGCCAAAGCCAAAAGCCTGGAAAAGCGATGGTGGACCTAAATGAAAAAGAAGAACCAATTTTCCTCCAAAATAAACAAAGAATGACCCTATAATCCTACTCAGAGCACTAATTGTATTGCGACGATCACATTCATCATTCTCTCCCACTGGTTCAGTGTTGGGACAATTTTTTATTTGGTAAAGTACGATCTTTTCCAGTAGTTTCCGTGTTGAGACTTTTTTTTATTTGGGGAAAATGGAAAGAGGCAAAGACCCCTTTGTGACAGAAATACTCACAAGAGCCCTCACAAGCCAACATTCTGAAGCAAATTCCTACTAATTTACAGAATATATGAACATAATGCATCGAGTACAAACTGAACTAGAGCCCTCACAGTCGACACATGCGCCAGGAGCTTTTTCTACATAATAGAAGAAAGATCCCACTACTAAGACAGACTAAAGATGTTCTTCCTACAGAACAACTAAAAGTGAAGTTAGCTATTAACGTTTTGCTTTGCTTCTGAATCTTGCTCCTTGGGGGGGCCTGTAACACCACCATTCATCATTGCATGCGCCTCAGCAAACATCTTCCGTTGCTCAGCTTCTGAATCTTGCTGCTTGGGGAGGCCTGTAACATTGCCATTCATCCTTACAAGCGCCTCAGCAAACATCCTCTGCTGCTCAGTTTCTGAATCTTGCTGCTTGGTGGGGCCTGTAACATCGTCATTCATCCTTGCACGTGCCTCAGCAAACATCCTCTGCTGCTCAGTTTCTGGATCTTGCTGCTTGGTGGGGCCTGTAACATCGCCATTCATCCTTGCACGTGCCTCAGCAAACATCCTCTGCTGCTCAGCTTCTGAATCTTGCTGCTTGGGAGGGCCTGTAACACCGCCATTCATCCTTGCACGTGCCTCGGCGAACATCCTCTGTTGCTCAGCTAATGCTTCTTCTTCAGTCATTTCAGCTACATTATTACATTTCCCAGATCTCACAGTGTCCTATGGTAGAAAAATACACCAAAGGGCAATAAATGATAAAACTTATTGTTGTTTTAAATCACTTTAAAAGGTTTAGCCACAGGCTGTGGACTCAATGGGAGAAGGAGAAACTCACTTGGAGAACAAAAGACAAAATGAAAAGAAATCACTAAGATGAGACCTCCATGAAAAAAGGGAAGAGATGCTAGCTCAATAGACGATACACTAGCTATTCCACAGAGAAGCTTAAATAATAATAGGTTATCCATATGTCAAAGTAAAGTAAGACGATAAAGAAAGAGAAGTACCATGGTCTCTAGCTTGTGTTGTTCATATGCAGCATATACTTCTTCAATATATTCCCCAAAACCAAGAACCTGAGAGATCATAACTTAACATAAGCAAAGACAATACAAGCAAGTTCTGATTACCAAATCATGTCTTTATTTTTCACTGCAAGCCAAAGCAAGGATATTATAAAAATTTAACCAGCGGATAATATTAATAGATTAACGTGTAAAGGACACTACATGAATAAAATTTCTGGGGTATTTTATAAAGGTAAAAAAGGGAAAGATTTCTGGATGGTTAATGATGAAATAATTGTGGTTTCTACGGTGAATACATTCCTCAGACCCCAGATAAAGGAAACCATGATTTACACATAACGCAGACATCAGTTAAAATCATGAACGATATTTGCAGAAGTCATCTTTACAACACCTTATTATCACTTCTAGGGCATAAGAAAACAGATTCCTAAGTCAAGAAGCTTTGTTATCTTATTGGCCTAACTTTAGGTCAGAGGAAAACTACATCTGAACTGACATATCTCATCTTGAAGTAAACTGACATAGATCATACAGTAAAAAGCGCCAGCAGAGAATTGCAAAACAGGATAAAGATAGAAGAAGATATACATAAAAGAAGAATTACAGGATCAGGTCAAGCACCTCTAAAGCCTTGAGTACATGTTCTGGTGCAATTGTTCGTTTGTCTTCTCTATTACAAACTTCATTTGATTCTGATGAGATAAGATTAATGAACTCTGCACGGCACAGAACAAGTGGAACACTTTGCTAAGGAGAAAGAGGAAAATGACCTTATGAGGTTAATTTAGATAATAACTAAAGTTAATTCAAGTAATAATAGAAGCTATAACTTTGCTATCCATTTAAGGTAATTGAAGAGGTGATAATTATCCATAGAGGGAGAACAGGAAAGGGCAGATACTGTAACCCTGTTCACATAGCAAAGACATATCACCAGACAGGACATATGGAAACAGCAGCTCCACACCAAATTACTTTAAATTCATCTAACAGGACATGGACTGGAAAAAGAGATCAACAAATTTATGTTTTATTAGTAAACCTGAGTAATCTGGAATCCAATTTGAGTTGTAAGAATAATTTTTTTTTTAAAATGAAAATATTGGTGTTTGGGCCAACTTGTGCGCACGTCTACTATTCAACCAGGTACTTGCATCCTCCCACTAATGCAGGTTCCAGGTAAATTCTAGCTTAGGCAAATGGGAAGAATCACCTAGCTCTTTTGCCTCTACCAGGATTCCAACCTTGATCTCTTTTAGGTGTATGAATCAACATAGAATAAAACACAGGATCTGTTAAAACCTTAAATCCGTTTAACAGTTCCTCATACTGACCTACTTAATGTCTTAAACTGTGGTCAGTAGTCCACTACCAAGCACTTCTATCATACTCTTCTTGTACTATGTCTCATCATACTATATAGAATTTCAGTACCAACAGGCCTTGAAGCACACTACCTGTTCAATCCATAAACTTCCACCGGGCACAATAGATCACACACCATCTTATTCTCAGTGAAATCAACTGATGAAGAAAATGGTTATACACCAGCTTTTTTTTTTAACTAAAAGTCTGCTTGATTAAAAAAATCCCATTAAATCAGAGAGAAGCAGAGTTGCGGACATAGACAAAATAGTACTCAACAATAGTCACACCCGTCATGATAACTAAACTGACCTCAAAAAATTAAATCGGGCAAATTAAAATCAACTCACCTACGCAACATTCAATCAAAAGATCCTGAGCATCTCGGGCAACACGAACATCTGGCGGCAACATTTCTTTAATAATCTTTGTCATAGTTGCTGAGAAGAGATACAATATCAGTATAGCCAAAGAAAGCAAACAATTAATTAAACTAAGTCATCCAAATCAAATAGCAAGTTCTCTAAAATTAAATGAGTTTCAGAGATTAAAGAAAAACTAGATGCAGCCAAAATTTCAATATCATTGTTTGCAAGTGGAATCATCAAGCTCATCATTCTAACACAACGTCAATGATCTTTTCTCAAAAGGTGGCACAATGTAGATAAAGAACAAAAAGAAGCCTTCTTTCTTTACACGTTGATGAGATAGACTGAGTTACTCTGGCGACTGATACATAATAGACTGAGTTACTCTGGCGCCTGATACATAATGTGACGGGAACTTCAAAAAAAAATTGACACAAAATATCCTACTTAATATGTAGAGGTAGAACAAAAATGTAGAACTTCAGACAGCACGAAGAATCAAGCTTTTAGCTAACTGAAACTGATCTTAGAATTTAGGAAGTTGTACACTGCTCGACCCTATTTCTCGACTTTAAACTCAACTGTTAGACGAAAATGCAATATAACTTTTTTTGCGACCACCTAGCTAATTATGCCTTCTTTTGGACAGGATAATAATCAGTGTTAAGCTAATATCTCACAAGAATTTTAATATCTTGGACAGGATAATCATACGTATTAAGCTAATATCTCACGAGAACTCTAACATATTGGACAGGATAATCATAAGCTAACCTAATAAACAATTCTCCTCACCAAATGATTTAAACTTTCAATCACAAGAAACTCATTCAATTTGGTGAAAAGCAATCCGAGAGTAAACAGTAATTAAGTCTAGATATGCTGGCTCAAAATTATTTTTTCCTGAATATATTATTACATGAACGGAAACTAAATAGGGAAGAGAAAAAGAAACCTTTGGGAAGTGAAGCATCTTCCTTTGATTTACCAACGATATCCATAGGTTCCAACCCTCCAAAAACCAAACAAAAAATTCTTAAAATTAAAATCACAAATTCTTCAAATTTGCAGAAAAAAAACTAAAAGGAAAGATCTAGAGCTTAGAAGAGAAATAAATAAAATTATACCGACCTTACGAGGAGAAAATCGCGAATCAGGCAGATTGGAAGAGATTAGAATTAAATAAAAATTCAGTGGCAGTTCAGCCGATTGGAAGATATATAAAAAGGGATCGAAGTAGGTGATCGGAGTCGTAGACGGTGGTTGTTCATGGTCGATATAGAGAAGGAAGTGGTCTAGGGCTAAGTTTCTGTAAAGCGCATTGAATGAATGCAATATCCACGCGCGCGTAAGGACGTGCGGCTCATAAAGCAACGGTTCGTGAGTGATAATTGGCGAGTGGTTTGCACGTAGATATTAAGGATGTGGGAATGTGTGAGAAGACAAAATATAGTTTATGTTGTTATAATAGTCGTCTTTAAGGTAGCGGATGCCGCAGGTGAAATTTCATGAATTGCCAATGGAAGCGAGAGAAAAGGAGAGAAGAGTTACCGATTCTACTGGATCTGCTTATTGAGGCCCACTATAGATGCCCTAATTTGGGCCATATGTAGTTGGGCTCGCGGCCCATTTAGTATCAAGTCTTTGTTTTCTCTTTTGGAATTTTTGCACAGTATAGCCGGTCTCCAGAATAATAGCCAGCAAATATATAGTTTTTGTATTTTAATGTATAATATTATACATTAACTAGTGGTTGTAATTATTTTTGATTGACTGGCCAAATGTTTAAAAAGCTCTTTTCTTCTTGCTTCCTTTGGGCACCACTGTTTTAAAAGGTAGAATTGAGACTCATCCGAGGTGGGACACTCATAAAATGCTCTTGAGCATACATGCGGGTACTTGTATTGCGAGACTTACGCTTTAAGTGTCCGAGTCTATGCTTCGGCCACACCCAACGCACAGGGCTCGTCCTACAAATTTTTTGTTCGATTATATATAATTAGCGTTGTTTATCCTCAAATTTCTAAGCTTAACACTTCAAAAAATTTCCTTCATTGATATATTGCAACTCATAACTCATAAATACTAATATATAATTCATAACTCATAAGTCCAAACTAGTTCGAACACCATTAGTATCAAAACAGAAAATTTATTATAGTCTCATTATAATTGGCCCATAAATGAATTCTTTGTAGGGAGTTTATACCTTTACCCACAAAAACTATACTAATTACTCTTGCCTACCCATTAGTTTTTCTATCCACCAAACTGATTATCTTTTCTACCTATTGCAGCTTTTGTGGGTAATATTATTAGTGAAAGGAGATATGGGAATCGTGATTATAGTTATGCTTTCATAAAGTTAAATGGAAAGTCATAAGAGACTATTGTTAAACCGTGAGATTAAATTGTGCCCATACTTTATTCTCGACACATTACATAAGAAGGAGGGAAGCGAGAACCTAAGAAAGCCAACAAAGGTGAAATCGTAGGTTGCCTATAAAATTTAAGTATCGAGAAGAGAGAAATAATTCTTATTTTCATCATCTACTTCTAATACAATAACATCTCCATGGAATTCCATCTAACACCTCTTTTAAGAAGAAAATATTGTAAAAGGCATGAGAACTTTGTTAAAATATTTAAAAAGGATCCAGTTAAAAATATTTAAAAATTAAAAAATGACTCAATTATAACATCATATTGTATATTACAATAATATATTATTGTAGTAAACTATATACCATTGAACTATATATTATATACCAAAATAGCATACAATATATGAAAATGATATTTTATGTTCTTCATTCAACATTATACTATTACATTAAAATAGTATACTATGATGGTATATTGTATACTAATACAACATACTGTTGCGGTATATTGCACATTATTACAATATATTGTTACAGTATATTGTATACTATATAATAGTATATAGTGCAATATAGCTATATACTCCTACAGCATATTATATACCGTAGCGGTATACTATTAGGTAACTGTGTTCTTCTTTGTTTTCAGCTGAAAGATTCGATCTCAATCACCTCAAATCAACTTCAAATGTGATCAAATTTTATTATGAACTTCCAGAAGGTACTATAACCAATATTTAATAACACCCACTTTGAATCAAACAAGAAATCTTCAAAAAAAAAAAAAATTGAGCTTCAAGCCAACAATGGTGGATATTCAAACATGCATAAAAATTCAAATCTGGAAAGCTTATTTGAAGGCACTATAAGCAATATTTTATAGCACCCACATCGAATCAAACAATAAATCTTCAAAATAAAATTTTAAATTTAGGAGCTTCAAGCTCAACAATGGTGGGTCTTCATATACACACAAAAATCATAAGGAGAGGAGGTAAGCAATAGCTTGGGTTGACCATCTTAATGAAGATCGATCTGGCAGAGGAGAAGTAGATCCATTCAAGTGCACTATCAAGCAAGCTTGCAAAAATGAAGCCAAATATTTTTAATATTTTGTACTTCAAATGAGAAGACAAATAGCTAATGGATGGGCCGGGTAAATAATTTGGGCTGCATAGGTAGGAAAAATAAATAGTTTAGGTTTGAGTATTAAAGGCTAAATAGTTTGGGCTTAATGAGTATAAAGTGAGATTTTCCCTTCTTTGTATTCGTTAATGGTATTGACAAAATGTTGAATACGTAATAGTAATGGTAGAGAACTTGATTGCTTTGTATTTTAGGCTAATATTGAATATTTGATCGGAAATCTTCTAATCTAAAATCCTCAGTACTGAGAGCAAGCAAGTTTTTTACTTTAAGAATAAAAACCACCACAAAGTAAAGACTATACATTATCTCCGAGAAAATGTGAATGGGGAGAAATCATCAATTTCTTACCTTCCTCCCATATTTGGTTTAAGATATCAGATGATCAGATCTACTTTAGTAATTAATCCGTGTAGAAGTTAAATTTTTGATCTCTTTTTAATTAATTTGTTAAAGTGTTCAAATATTCTTTTACCAATTATTAATTAGTACTTGCTAAATAGAGTTACTTACCATTACTTCTTTTTTTTGGTTTCCCACCCGGTGTCCGGTGCCCGCATTGGAGTCCGACTATATCCGAATTCGCACTGCATAGGGCCCCATTCAGGGGGGAGCGCTCCCTACCAAGGAGTTTTCCATACCCTTATAATGTAACCAAGGGATGATACCCCTTCGCCAAAAAATTATACTATATTGTTAGGTAAAAAGTTTTATATTTATGTATATATTATATGTTGAATCCCTTTGACTTTTAATTTCCTTGTGTTTAATATTTTTTTTTTTAATTTTAACACTATTAATGAAAATCCTAGCGCTGAAACTGCTAATTACCATTTCTTTTTCGAAACAAAGATTAAATATGATTCGCGGACGCATTTAATATTGAGGGCTAAAGCAGTAAATTTTTCAATCAACCTAAAGTGACCGCAGGTTTGTCTATATTTACCCGACAGCTGGTCTCCCAAAAATACACAATGTCATACAGAGAAGTGGGTGATAGTTTCATGTGTGTTATTCTGGACTTATCGCCTGGTTTTATCTTCTCTCTCTAATCATCTTTAGAATTTTATGGAAGATTTCTACTACTCATATATAGTATACTCCATTTATATACTGTATGTTTACTACAAATGTGTATATTATATTTACAGGGTGTTTGGCTAAGCTTATAAGCAGGTCAAACTAGCTTATAAACACCTTTTAGCTTATCTACGTGTTTGGTAAATACCTAAAGTGCTTATAAGCCAAATGATTATAAGCTAAAATCAGCCATAAGTCATAAGTTGGTCACCCCCAACTTATGACATTTCAGCTTATAAGCACTTTTAGTTTGACCAAGGATTTTACTAGTTTATCCTTAATAATATTTTTTAATTCACAAAATATTTTTCCCTAAATAAATTTTCTAACTTTCTTTTCATTCCACATTCTTTGTTCATCCTTTTCTTTACAAAGAAATTTTTTAATTTATGATCTTTTATAAAAATTTTAAGGATATTTTAGTTATTTTAACAAAAGAATAACTTATCGGCACTTTTTTATCAAACACATCAACCTGATTATTACCAGTTTGAGCACGTCTATCCAAACACTTAAATGCTTATTTAAAAATCAGTTTCAGCACTTAAAAATATTTTTCAGCACTTCAAGTTTATCAGCTATTTACAATCAGCTAATCCAAACGGGCTCTTATTAGATGTCCACAAACTTCTATTCGTAGTACTCGATGGGTTTGGCGAGATCTGTGTATAATATTTGTGTGCAATGCCTGGCAGATTGTAGTGTAAGTATGTGGAAGTCAGATCCGTGATGCAACGCTACAGCTGAGATCTTAAGATCAGTTTCATTACTTGGAGAAGTTTTTCGTGGATATTTTTTGAGTATTGACGCATCATTTTTGCCTTGTTTTATGGGAAACACACACACACTCGTTTTCTTCTTGTTTTTTTTTTTTGTTCATTGTTTAATTTGGAATGTGGATTGTTTGAGGACACTGGAAGCAGCGGTTCATCCATCTGTTCCCTGAACTGCTGATATATACAAAAAGAATAGCAACAGCTGGGAATCGGTCGATAAACCTCTGCATCCAGCGCTTAACCCCCCGTGACTAATTGGTCTATTCTACCATTTGTGAAGTGTTCTAGCCGAGATTTGCTAGGCAGTATTGGTTTTATTTAAGTTATGAGTAAAACTAATTCGCACCTATCGTTTACACCAAATCAATGACTGCAAGACATATGTCTTGCATACACAAATTTATGATTTAACCACGGTTAAATAATATGTATTCTTAGTTTAAAGTTTAACCGTTAAAATTAAGTTGCTTGATTTGGTGTAAACAGCCTGTGCAGGTAATTATTTACCGTTTTTCTTTCCATTAAGTTATCCTATTTATCCTTTCTCTAGTCAAACTAAGTTATTACTTATTAATTTTGGTCTGATGTTGTGTGTTGTACCTTGTCATATGGCGCCATGTGGAGTAGAAAGTAGAAACCACACAATTTGTAAGAACCGCTAGAAGCAACTGACTCTGGCTTCTTAATAGGAAAATGGGCTTGCAGAAATTATGACTTGTAACTAGTAAAGGGAGATGTATATATAATATGTACAATTTTTCTTCCTTCAAATATCTCATCTAATTTGCATCTGTTGCTTCTTTTCGACTGTGGTGAGAAATTCCAGGAGCTTTAATTTGGAAGATTATTTCCATGCGTTTAATATTTGGATGGTTTAATTTGAAAAGGAAATTTTCCTAGTTTTTCTCAGTTCTCTTTGTAGACCGGTCCTGTCAATCAAACTTCTATACGGAATAATTTTACAGCCAGAGATTCATAAATCATAACGGCACCCACATATGTGTTAATGAGTCCGGAACCAAAATGTGGTTCCTTTTGACTCAAAGTACACAAATAGGTGGGAAAAAAAAAGTTACATTTTTATATATAACGCCACAGTACCTGGCGCTATATATTAACAGTAACTGAAC